CGTACCGACAGGATCCAAATTTCTTCTTCCTTTATAAGTATCATTGCTAGCCTTTCTTTGGATCTATGTCTAAACAGGGATAATAAAGAAAAGAAGATGTGGTACAATAAAATTGAGAAAGAAAAGCACAACACACGAATGTATACAACATGGCGGTCGACTAAGAAATGATTCCGTTCGGGTTACCTCGGTTCAGCTCTGATCGGCTCGGCTCGGTTCGGTAATGTTGTTCAAGAAAACCGAAATTTTATTCGATAACCGAGGCATTTTCATCTCGAATTTTCTGTTCGTATTGCGAATATATATTTTCGGAATTTTTATTTTAATTTGAAAAATATTTAGAAGAATTCTAAGAAAAAGGTCTAAGTCGATGGTAAGGACGGAAGAGGAGTTGGGGAGGAGAGAAGTAGAAAAGAGGAGTAGAAAAGAGGAGTAGAAAGGGGGGAAAGACTTAGGAGTGGGGGAGATAAGAATGAGAAGAAAGAAAAGTCGAAAAACGAGGAGGAAGAAGGGGAAAAGGAAAAAGAGAAAGAGGAGCAGAAGATTATAAAAAGCGGCGAAAAAAAAGAAGAAGAAAAAGAAGAAAGACAACAACAACAATAATAATAAAAAGAAAAAAAGGCAAAGTACAATTAAAATTAGATAAGAAAAGAACAGCATAACACGAATGTATACAACATGGCGGTCGACTCAGAAATGATTCCGTTCGGGTTAATTCGGTTGGACTCAGTTCGGCTCGGTTGGACTCGGTTCGGCTCTGTTCGTCTCGGCTCGGCTCGGTTCGGCTCGGTTCGACTCGGTTCGGATCGGATCGGCAATGTTGATTGAGAAAACCGAAATTTTATTCGATAACAGAGGCATTTTCATCTCGAATTTTCTGTTCGCAAAACGATTTGTTCAACATGTCAGACGTTCGAGAGCCGAGGTTGTTCTGTATTTAAAATGTTTCTGCTCGATTGATTTTGGTATTTCCAATTTGTAGTTTGAATCTCGGGCTGTTCCTCTTGCGGTCAACTGTACATTATGACACTTGGGGATTAGTCCTTTCTTCCATCTCTCCTTTACTACCTTTTCTAGAAGTTCATATGGTTTCCTTTCTGTGCCTGCTATCAGCACTGCATCATCTGCATGTTTTATGTTGTATGGAATGTGACCTGGTAGGACTTCTAGTTCTTTCATGATTGCCTCACTATAAATGCTGACGTAGTCTGGTGAAGCCGCTTTATCTTACGCCCCTTTAACGTTACTAAATATCAGAATATTAAATGCCACATCCCCAGGGGAGACTGCTTATCAAGATTGAATTACATACCAGTTCTTCTCTACAGAGTTGAAGAGTCACTGGGTTCACCATGTGTGTGTTGTTGCGCCGTACAAAGTAAAAGATTTAGAATATGTATATTAAAGATATTGTATTGGATTAAAGTTTAGCATGGCTGAAAATGGAACAGGGAATCCAGTTCTACAAAGAAAGAAAGAAGTGGAAAGTGGTGGAAAAGAAAGAAAGAGTAGGGGTTGAAAATAAAGACAGAAAGAAATTTGATGAGAAATAAATAAATGCTATGTCGTTAAAAAGAAAGAAAAAAAAGAAAGAAAAAATATGTAAAACCATGAAAAGGAAAGAAAGAAAGAAAGAAAGAAAGAAAGAAAGAAAGAAGGAAAGAAACAAAGAAACAAAGAATGAAGGAAGGAAGGAAGGAATATGCAAATATGTTGAAAATAGAGAAAAAACAAGAGAAGCAACGGTCGTTAAAATAAAAGAAAGAAAGAAAGAAAGAAAGAAAAGTATGCAAAACCATGGAAAAGAAAGAAAGAAAGGAAGGAAGAAAAAAGGAATATGCAAATATGTTGAAAATAAAGAAAGAATAAGAGAAGCAACGTTCGTTAAAAGAAAAGAAAAGAAAGAAAGAAAGAAAAGTAAAACACTATAAAAAGAAAGAAAGAAAGAAAGAAAAGAAAGAAAGAAAAAAAGAAGGAAAGAAAGAAAGAAACAAACAAACAAAGAATGAAGGAAGGAAGTAATATGCAAATATGTTGAAAATAAAGAAAGAATAGGAGAAGCAACGTTCGTTAAAAGAAAAAAAAAGAAAGAAAGAAAGAAAGAATATGTAAACCATGAAGAAGAAACGAAAAGAAACAAAGAAATGTGCAAATATGTTGGAAACAAAAGAAAGACAGAAAAAAAAATGTACGTCGTTAAAAGTAAGAAAGAAAAAAAGAAAATAAGAAATTAACGTGAATCGGTGGAAAATAGAGAAATGTTAAATCGTTGAAAAGAAAGAAAAAAAGAAAGAAAGAATATGTAAAACCATGAAAAGAAAAAGAAAAGAAAAGAAAGAAAGAATATGTGAACCATGAAAAAGAAAAGAAAGAATATGTAAATATGTCGAAAAGAAAGAAAAAGAACAAAAGCAATATACGTTGTTAAAAGAAAGAAAGAAAAAAAGAAAGAAAGAAATTAACGTGAATCGGTGGAAAATAAAGAAATGCTAAGCCGTTGAAAAGAAAGAAAAAAGAAAGAAAGAAAAAAGAAAGAATATATAAAACCATGAAAAGGAAAAGAAAAGAAAAGAAAGAAGAATATGCAAATATGTTGAAAATAAATAAAGAACAAAGGCAATGTACGATGTTAAAAGTAAGAAAGAAAAAAGAAAGGAAGAAATTAACGTGAATTGGTGGAAAATAAAGAAACACTAAGCCGTTGAAAAGAAAGAAAGAAAGAAAGGATATATAAAACTATGAAAAGGAAAAGGAAAGAAAAGAAAGAAAGAATATTTAAACCATGAAAAAGAAAAAAGAAAGAAACAATATGTAAATATGTTGAAAAGAAAGAAAGAAAGAACAAAAGCAATGTACGATGTTAAAAGTAAGAAAGAAAGGAAGAAACTAAAGCGAATTGGAGGAAAAGAAAAAAAAGGAAAAGAAAAAGAAAGAAAAAAAGAAAAGAAAAGAAAAAAGAAAATGGCCAGTAATTGTTAAGAAGGAAAACAAAAGGTTACCATCCGCAAAGCAGATGTCACTGGTTCCCCAATCATTTGATCAACGCCTGTAAACAGAAGCTCTCTCTTGATAAGGAATGAATTTCAAGACATAACAGCATTTAACAAATGTTTTAACCTTGTCAGTCGCCCATATAGAACGTACTGGGTATAAAAAGCCTTACCCGGATTCACACAGCTGCTGGGATCATCAACAACAGATGCTTGCCAAACAATTTCTTTTTTTTCCTTCACCTTTTCTTCAACCGAACTTATTAAACCATTGTGTAAAATATAGAACGAAAGTAATTAAATATTTCTCAACCCAAACGTTCGTTTTTTTCCCAGACCCCTGTTTTCATCCGTCATCGTGCAGTGCTTTCTCAAGACTATTCCAGACATTCTAATATTGATGGGTACTATCATCATTTTAATATAGGTACCGCCACTTTTTCGCGGAAAACAGCATAGAGTAATGAAAAAGGCCACAAAGTTAATAAAAATAAAGTTTTATCGTCAAAATGTTTATGTTATTATTAAGATGAAAGACCAAAGAATTTTTTAATTATTTTTTGAAATTTTTTAATCCTTTCTAAAACGTTCGAAATTTTGGTTAAAATCTTTTGTTTACGTCATCACCGTGGCTATATAATAACATTGACTTTTTTGAGCTTTTTTCTCGTTGAAAACACATTGATTTGGAAATTTTTGTAAAAATCAAATAATTGTCCGATTTTAATGAAATTTTCAGGACTTATTCGCAAATGAATGAAATTATTTTTGAAATTTTTCTTTAGTAAATCTTGGTAAAAATATTTTTTTTTTTTACACTTACTTAATTCCATGAAATTTCACAATAAACCTTTTCTATTTCCTCAGTTTTTTATTCGTTAAAAGTAGGACTCCTTAGAGAATGTAAATCGTTTAATTTGTTTTTCAAATTTGCACTATTCTGATAATCTGCACTGAATTGAAAAATAATAAATGCAATGAAACTGGCATTATTTAATTAGAAAAGCTTTTAATTGCTTTTGTAAATAAATTATATTAAGGACGTTATTGTCTGAAGAAATAAAATTTTTCCGATGAATACTGAATTTTTACAAGAATTTTTTCATTTGTTTTAAAAATTTTAATTATAATAATTTATAATAATTTAAAAATCGTGTAAAATTCTGTATTGGGCTATTTCCTTGATGTGATATAGTAATTAAGTGGAAACGAAATTTACGAATCTAAAATTGAAAAGATTAATAAAGATAGTTACGCTATTCTATTTTTTAAATTATTTTTTATTTTTTATTTTTTTTACTTAATAGGTTTTACTTAATACGTCCATTTCTTTCGGCTATGGTAGGCTCGAATTGACATTATTATGAAAAGGGTCACGTGATCTAATAGTTTTGTCTCTTTACAGAAAAATTCTCTCGTTACTTATTTACGTTTCAACAGGTTTTCCCGTCAGCTTGAAAAGTTAAAAATTTAAAGTAAGTTTTACTTTTTCAATTACTATTTTCAGTAAATATTTTTATTTTATGTATTTACATTAGTGTGGCTCATACTTCAATTGAGTATTTTTTTAACTTTTTAAAAAAAAAAATTTATTTTTTTGTTCGTAATTTCTTTTTAATTGCTTTAGTTTATTCCATTTTATGACAGTTATTTTGATAAAAACGTTTAATTTAATTTTAAAACTAATGTTTACTAAATTTAAAATATTTTTAAAATTTATTTCTTTCATATTTGAAATTAGTTTTCGGAAATTTATGTCAAATCGGGTCATCCATAACTAGCTGTCATCACTTCGTCATTAAACAGTACCAATCATTAACAAATGCTTGTATATTACTTTTTTATGCTATGAGCAATATTTTGTTCAAATCAGATTAATTTAACTTATTTTTTTTTTTTTTTTTTTTTTACTTTTTGAACGTGTATATATATATATATATATATATATATATATATATATATATATATATATATATATATATATGTGTGTATAAACTATATATATATATATATATATATATATATTTGTGTGTGTGTATATATATATATATATATATATTATATATATATATTTATGTGAAATGTTAAATGTCATTTAATTTGATTTAAATATAAAAATTTCTTAAAAGCAAATTTTTCTTAAATTTATTTAAAATTTATTTTAAAAATTTTAAATATATATATATATATATATATATATATATATATTCTTTTGAATTTTTTTATTGTTCAATATATATATATATATATATATATATATATATATATATATATATTTATATAATTTGAAAATTTTGTAAATTTTAAGAAATTTAAGAAAATGGCTAATTTTAAGAAAATTTTAAGTAATCGAAATTAAATTTGACATTCCAATCTATATAATTTCTATCTAAAATACACCAGAATATTTTACTTGATGGAAATAATGAATTTAATCATTTAGCTTTCAATTACAGGTAAAATGAAATCTTCAAGTATTTTTTTCATTTTTAAAAATTCATTTTAAACTTTAGGTATCGAAAATGTATGCCGAAAAAGCGTAGGTATCTATTTTAATATTTCACCATTTTTTGTCCTTTGGCATCTTCCAAATATTCATTCAGCTTTTTTTTCTTTTTTTTATTACCAAATTTTACTATTGCTTGTTCCTTCTCTACTTAGTTAGATAGCACGACCATTGCGCCATGCCAGTACTTCATAATTGCGAGGTAAGACGAAAAAACATATCAGAGACGGTGCTTGGTTTTAGCGAGAAAAAGAAAACAAAAAAAGAAAGAAAATATAGTGGCGATAATACTCTCATGCGTTTAACGTCTGCTTCAGTGAAATGGAAATAAAACTTTTCCATTGCAAATCTTTTCATTTGTGACCTGCATTCATACTTCTGATTATTATTGCAATATTATTTTTAAAATTGGTAAACTCAAATATTTAACGATGCAATAGTAGAATTTTCGCTTGTATTTTAAAGTTGTGGAACTCATAAAAATCTTATTGTTTGTTTAGGGGGCATATCAACTCTTTATTTAATGCCGAAATTTAGTTTTGGGCGGAGCATTAAGTCAATCATGTGCCATGCGTGATACACGCTTAGGCAATCATATATCTTTCGATATATGACTGACGAGGCAGATATTTTTCTCGTGATAGGTTGCCATTTCTTTCTGTGGTAGACCAGTTACCATCCAAGGCTATAGAACCCCTGTCTGTCCTGCTATTTACCCATAGCTAGTGAGGGAGAAGAAAGTTTAGTAACTCTCATTTCAACTTTCAAACATTTTCTTGAATTTCGTTGGTTGTTAAACAAAAACAAGCTTCGGGAAATTTCAATAACAAAACAGTCAAAACTTGTTCAAAAATAGGCTCAACTGACATAAAAAAAATCTTTCTCAAATTCATCCCTAATTTAAATGTTTCAAGAAATCCTACTGGCTAAAAAAGAAAAAAAATATATTGACCCACGCATTTCTCAGAAAAATTAGGAACAAGCTACCAAGCCGCTGGAGCCGATTTTGTTGTTAAAAAAATACTATAAATAGAAAAAGCAAACGAATTTTCGTCGCATTTTCAGACTCACTCACGCAAAGATACACAGGGGAATTATGTGTCAAAATTGGCGCCAAAGAAACAAACTTTCTTTATGAGAGATTAGAAAAATTCATATAACAAACTTTTTCACTTAATATCTTTCATAGAAAAAATCTTTTGTCTAAGTTCAACCTTTCAATCAAAAGCAGACAACTTTTTAGACATTGAACATTTCCGAAACAGCAAAGAACTTTTCCTCTATACCTTTGCACACATCATTACAAACAAAGAAATTGTAAATTGTGTATATAAAGTTTAATCTGTTGTATTTTTTGTCGTGATTGAATATCGTTACCATTTGGCCATTTCTTATAATTTATATTTGTGGATATTGCATATTTGATTTGCAGCACAATCTTAAATATTCACGCATCCTTCTTAGATTCACTACAAGAGGATTCACACTTTTCCCAAGGGTATTAGCACCGAAGTGAATATAATGGGAATCGAACTCTCCAATTCTTTAATCCTAGTCGTTATCCATTATTCCACCGTGCCTTCTGGAGCCTTAGTAATTTCTTTTACAAAAATGTATGACTGGTAACTTTTTACTATGAAAATGTATTGCTGGTATTTTTACTATGAAAAAGATTTATACATTCATAGTGTTTTAGCCCCAGTTTGGGTGTTAACTATTTGCCCATAGATGGGACCCTAACAGGTGCTACCACCCCGAGTCAGGGTTGATCTGGGAAGAATAGCAATTAAGAGGTGGTTCCACGCTCCTTAAAACCTATCGATTAGATATCTTGCTACCGGATTTAGTTTATCGTCATACCCAGGATGGAAGGAGCTTATTCAGTCATTAATTTATTATGATTCATCAGAAAATTCAAATAGAAAAACCACGAAATTTTTTTTACGGGTACTATTAATTTTTATTATTCAACCATTTGGGGTTGGGAATAACGTTGCGTTGGATGTCGTTTCTGGATTCTAGAAGTCTATCGGCAATTCCTCAGTAAAACCCCAACGCTGCATTAACAGGCTTAATCAAAGAGAAACAATTTTCTTAAGTTTCTGTTTAAGATGGAGGGGGGTGACAGAAAATGGATGTCAGTAGGTCGACTAGCTACCTATTCTCTCTGCGTACGGGGCCTGTCGTTCAAATGAAACCGCCAAGTTTGGTAGAGAAAGATTCCAACGAAAGTCTGGGCTCTTGAACTCTTTCCTTCCTGTTGCAGTCGTACTGTTTTTCTTTTTTTTTTTTTTTGCGCGCGCGCGAGAGCGAGCGTTTTCCGTTCTTTATATATGACAAAGACACATCGCATGAAACTGCAACAGCACAGGATATGGAGAGAAAAGAGAGATCACCACCCTCTGTGGGATCAGGTTGAGATCATAGACAAAGAATATTTTTGGAAAATTCGTAAGCTTAAAGAATCAGCACATATGCTAGGTCACAAAAATCTCCTGAGCCGACCAAGCATAGAAATAAATACAATATGGGAACCAGTAATAAGGAGTATCAGAGAAAAGCGATAATAACAAAAAAAAAATTTCACTATGAGCTCTGGTAAAATATTTTATTACTAGTTTTATTCAATCTTATTATTGTTGCTTTTTATCCCAACACTCTGGCTCTATACACTCTTCATAATTACTATTATTTATTACGAGTTTTATTCCATATTATTATTGTTGCCTTTTATCCCAACACTCTGGCTCTATACACTCTTCATTATTACTATTATTTTATGACTAGTTTTATTCCATCTTATTATTGTGGCTTTTTATCCCAACACTCTGGCTCTATACACTCTTCATAATTACTATTATTTATTACTAGTTTTATTCCATCTTATTATTGTTGCTTTTTATCTCAACACTCTGGCTCTATACACTCTTCATTATTACTATTATTTTATTATTAGTTTTATTCCATCGTATTATTATTGCTTTTTATCCCAACACTCTGGCTCTATACACTCTTCATTATTACTATTATTTTATTATTTGTTTTATTCCATCTTATTATTATTGCTTTTTATCCCAACACTCTGGCTCTATACACTCTTCATTATTACTATTATTTTATTATTAGTTTTATTCCATCTTAATTATTGTTGCTTTTTTATCCTAACACTCTGGCTCTATACACTCTTTCATAATTACTATTATTTTATTAATAGTTTTATTCCATCTTATTATTATTGCTTTTTATCCCAACACTCTGGCTCTATACACTCTTCATTATTACTATTATTTTATTATTAGTTTTATTCCATCTTATTATTATTGCTTTTTATCCCAACACTCTGGCTCTATACACTCTTCATTATTACTATTATTTTATTATTAGTTTTATTCCATCTTATTATTATTGCTTTTTATCCCAACACTCTGGCTCTATACACTCTTCATTATTACTATTATTTTATTATTAGTTTTATTCCATCTTATTATTGTTGCTTTTTATCCCAACACTCTGGCTCTATACACTCTTCATAATTACTATTATTTATTACTAGTTTTATTCCATCTTATTATTGTTGCTTTTTATCTCAACACTCTGGCTCTATACACTCTTCATTATTACTATTATTTTATTATTAGTTTTATTCCATCGTATTATTATTGCTTTTTATCCCAACACTCTGGCTCTATACACTCTTCATTATTACTATTATTTTATTATTAGTTTTATTCCATCTTATTATTATTGCTTTTTATCCCAACACTCTGGCTCTATACACTCTTCATTATTACTATTATTTTATTATTAGTTTTATTCCATCTTATTATTGTTGCTTTTTATCCCAACACTCTGGCTCTATACACTCTTCATAATTACTATTATTTATTACTAGTTTTATTCCATCTTATTATTATTGCTTTTTATCCCAACACTCTGGCTCTATACACTCTTCATTATTACTATTATTTTATTATTAGTTTTATTCCATCGTATTATTATTGCTTTTTATTCCAACACTCTGGCGCTATACACTCTTCATTATTACTATTATTTTATTACTAGTTTTATTCCATCGTATTATTATTGCTTTTTATCCCAACACTCTGGCTCTATACACTCTTCATTATTACTATTATTTTCTTACCAGTTTTATTCCATATTATTATTGTTGCTTTTTATCCCAACACTCTGGCGCTATACACTCTTCAGTATTACTATTATTTTATTATTAGTTTTATTCCATCGTATTATTGTTGCTAACACCCTGGCTCTCTTCATTATTACTATCATTTTATTACTACTTTTATTAAATCTTATTATTGTTGCTTTTGATCCCATCTCCCTGGTTCAATACACTCGTCATTATTATTATTATTATTATTATTATTTGATGTATACTTTTATTTAATCTTATTATTGTTGTTTTTATCTACAGAATGTAGAGTAAGGATCAGAAAATGGGAAAATAACTAAATTTCTAAATCGTATTTAAGACCCTTGCCCCAGATCAGATTATTCGAATTTTTCGCTGCTAAATTTTTGTCTCTTTCTCATCAACCAACTCATTAGCTTATGGATCATTTATCAAGTTATTTTGGCTACATCTGCGGCGAGGTGACGCCGATAGGTGAATGGGTAGATACGAACCTTCTGTTCCTAAGGCCTGGATGTTTATCGGCTCACAGATCGGTCCATCGGGACAACAATACTGTAATGGGCTAGGAAAGGCTTTACGAGTTGTAAACAAGAGAAAGTCAAGGGCCTCCTTGTTTCAAATAGCATTCGTTCGTGTTTTTATTAAATCATTTTTTCTATCTCTCTTTCCCCCTTGCTAAACCATCAATTACAGCCATTGTAGACTGGTTAATCGAATCTTTATAATGAGTTAGGGATGGCGTCAGAGAGAGCGAAAAAAAAAACAAAAAAACAGTTCTCAGCTCCGGAGAATGAAATCGACGAAACGGGTTCGAATTTCGACAGAAGTAAATGCTTTCTGTTTATGTCGGGCTATTAACGGAAAACTCATGAACTGTTTTATTCCGTTCGCGACGTCTCATCGTCATCTGGAGAGAAAAGCCCTTGGGAGGGAGAAAAATGGATAAGTGAACAAATTTCGCCGCCATTTTTATTCTACCTGTTCATTTGACAACAACAAATCGCTGTTCATCTTTGTTAATGCACCTAATCAATAGTAACCCACAGAAAAAAGGACGCTAATGCTGGTTGATCATTATACAAGCTTTACTTACTCTTCTCTTTTGTCTGATCATACCGATTCAATCATCAATATATATATATATATATATATATATATATATATATATATATATATATATTAGAATGTGCAGCTTATATTTTATATCATAATGAAACAATTTATACAATGAATTAAATAGCAGCGTTAACGTGTTTAATGGCGAAATCACTTCGCTAACAAGACTTAATGAGAATTTGTCAAAAGTGTTTGGTATGTGTCTTCCATCTGACAACAACTCGAATATAAGGATCTTATTCAAAGAATTGATAGTAAGTTAATGTCTCATTAAGTCCTGTTAGCGAAGTGATTTCGGCATTAAACACATTAACATCGCTATTTAATTCTTTGTATAAATTGATTCTTTATAATATATATTTGTGTGTGTGTGTGTGTGTGTGTGTGTGTGTGTGTGTAAAATGTCAGAATTAACCTTTAGAAAAAAATAATAACCTGTAGAAAAATATTTATAAAGGAAAAAAGACAATAGGAAAACTGTTTAGTTTTAGCTGATGCGTTTCGTCCAATGTGGATTTTCTCAAGGCAAAAACGAAGTGAATTTATTGAAACAAGTATCTATAAATAAAAAACAACATGTCTTTAGCAAGTAGAAGAATTTAGAAATGCTATTAAATATTCATATGGTCAACTGAAAAATTACATCAATTACTTTATATTTGAAGAGAATATCGTCACATGTAGAAATATTGTTTGTATTGTTGTGTTGACGGATTCAACCATTTTCTTTTAATTTCTTGGTATATTTGTTGTGTACGTTGGCTTGGGAGTCTATTGATTCTTTTAGGAAAAGTGATATTGGGAAAAAACCTGCGTGCAAATTAATATTTGGATAATATTCAATGGCAGCACTCTCGGGAATTTTCCTTATGAGTAAATTTATTTCTTTTTTATGAGTATAGCATTTATAAAATCAAAATTGTGGTTGAATTTGTTTCTATGTATGACTAGCGCATTTGTTAAATTGTTATTTATGAAGTCTCTTTTGTGCTCATAAATTTTAGATTTATTGTTTGACATCGAGCAATGATTTTGTTTTGCTACCAGCACTCACTCAACGCTAATATTTAAACACAATAATCAACCCACTCACCCAAGCATACATCCACACTCATATATATATATATATATATATATATATATATATATATATATATATGCGTGTGTGTGTGTGTGTGTGTGTGTAAAGGGAAAAAAGACAATCGGAAGAATGTAGTTTTAGCCGACGCGTTTCGTCCAATGTGGACTTTTTCAAGGGAAAAACGAAATTAATTTATTGAAACTAAGTATCTATAAACAACAAACAAAATGTCGTTGATTCTGTTAGGTTAAGTGATATTGGGAAAAACTATATATGTTAATGATTTTGAGCAGCAACCCTTCTTTTATGCAAGTTTCATTAAAGACGAGGGACAAGGTACTGCGATTAAACATTTTATTTACTTTTCCTTGTGTTCGTATCAGTGTTTACACAATTTATGTCCGGAATAGAAAACACTTATTACTTCAAACATTATTGTAACAGATACTTCCTAGATGAAGTGAGACGCCCCTGTTTCATTTATTAAACAGTGAGTATAATGTGTATTGCCTGCACATTCGAGAAATATTAATAATGAAAATTATACACACTATTTAATAAATAAAATACAAATAGGGAGTCTATTTCAAGTACGAAGTTTCCACTCTAATAATGTTTGAAGTAGTAAAAATGCCAATTAAAAATAAATACAATAATTCTTTAGCAATTACGTATATATACGCACACATTTAATATTATTATATGAAAAGATTACTTATCTTTTAAATATCAATTTTATCCCAACTCCGAAGTTTCTTGGTAAAATTTCCAGTCTTCAGGGGGTTCTGGTTTTCAATGATTTTTTTTTCCAATTTTTTTTCAATTTTTTCCGCGTCTTTTTTCAGTCCACTCTTTTACTCCGTTTTGTACACAAGCGTATTCATGAATTTAAAGTTTTTTTTTACACACGAATGTTTATGAAAGTTTGCTTTTCTTTACGTCTTTCATTTTTTCAGCTATAGATTTTTTTTCCAGTTGTAAATTTTTTCTCTCCGAAAATATTTTTTTCTCTGGAATTAAATTTAATTTTTTATGATTTATATAGAAATTGTTATGTTTATGTTTTATTATTAATTAAATTGTAATAATTGTTAATTTGTATTATTATTTTGTGTTGTATTTGTATTATTAATTAATGTTTTAATTAATATTTTAATTGATTTATTATGTTATATTATTATTAAATAAACAAAATAAATGTCTGTTACTACATCGGCATCGACTCATTGTTTCATTCTTATTTAATAATTTAATTTGATTATTAAAAGTTAATATTGATAATTGTTCTTCTAAACGCAATCTACAGTTCCTATTGGTAATATTATTAATAATATACAGCTCTTGCTGGTAATAAGCATGTGTACAAAAAGGAGTAAAAAAGAGGATTGCAAAAAGACGCGGAACAAATTGAAAAAGATTGGAAAAAATTGGAAAATATTGTTTAAAACCAAAACCCCCTGAAGACTTGAAATTTTACCAAGAAACTTCGAAGTCGGGATAAAATTGATATTTAAAAGTTAAGTAATCTTATCTTATAATAATATTATTAAGGCTCTTTTTTAATATTATTTTAATATTTTTAATATTGAGCACTATATATAAAAATATCTGCTGTATCTTAAATCTTAACTCGCACACACACACACACACACACACACACATATATATATATATATATATATATATATATAATGAAATGGATTAAATCCGACAATTATTTATTATTTTTTTTTGTTTATATATACTGTTATTTTATAGATACAATTTATTTGAGTAAATGCTCTGTTTTTTAATTAAACAATATTAATTACATTTACCAGCCTGAATAATTAATAATGCTTCATTAAAAACAGGGCATTTACATAAATAAATCGTATCTAAAACATAACGTAAAAACAGAAATATTGCTTTTTTATTTTTATTTTAGGATATTACAAGAAAAACATGTAAGAATCGCTATACAATTGCAGTCGTGTTTCAACACATAATGATGCGTCTCCTCAGACGATTGTAAATTACTGGCGTCTGGCGTTTAAAATATTCAAACTAAGCGAAAAAGAAAAAAAGAAAGAAATTATTATCTTAGAAATGTGATTTTTTTTTCACAAACAGCCTGAGGATTCGAAAAGCGATGAAAAGTTAGTAGCTTTTAAAATAGTCGTAAATCGATTTTATTTCTTATAATTTAATGAAGTTATATCGCTCTGTGATTAACATCAAATTGCATTAAGCATTTTTGAGGTGGTGGAGCTGGTCGACGTCACTGATAGCACTGTTTATTTATCGTATATATTAGGGGTTCCCAACATTTTTGTATCAGCACTATTTTCATATGGAAACATTTTCCACTGCCCACCTCTATAGTAATTATTCAAAAGCATAGAAAAAGTGTTTCATAAAAGTTTGTTACTGGTTCATAAACTAACTTTATGGTGCAATAAAAATATCAAAGGGAGGTAACAAATAACGCTGACGTATGAGGCTACTACCGTATTGAAGAACAAACGAAAACAAGCTTGACCGTTGAAAACTATATATATATATATATATATATATATATATATATATATAATTTTATGGTTAGCGTTAGCGTTACAGGTGTTGACAAAAGATTAAACGAATTTTGTTCATAATTATAAAATTACAAAAAATATACTCTACTAGCAAGTAACAAAAATTCGACCAGTATTTTTTGTTGTTCTTGATCTTCCCTTATCTGGTTATATCCGAAAAATGCTTCTTCTCAAGAATTATTTGAATATTAATGACTATTCTCAAAATTATAGAAAATACCAAAATATATGTTGTTAGCGGAGATATTAGTATCTTATTTAGAAATGTGAACCAATTATTGCCATTAACCTCCTGTTTTTTGTTTGTTTTTAGGTTTTTTATATTTTTTTGTTTTGCTCTTTTATACAGTTTCTTTCTATATCGCTTTTGAATATTTTTTCGGGTCTCAAATGTTGAAAATGACTTTTTAATACTCAGAATCCTATGTCGGCCATCAAAATTTCCAATCATCAACCATTTTCTTTTCAGTTGATAATCGCCCACCCAACAGATGAAATCACCCTCTGGTTGGTGATATCTCACAAATTGGATCTTTTTTTCGTTCAACAGTTCTTCAGAAAGATACGTATGTGCTAATTCACACCGATTTCTTCTTTCTTGTTTTCTTTCCTTTTTCATTGTTTTTCTTTCTTTCTTTCTTCTATTTTTCTTTCTTTATTTATTTTTCCTTTCTTTCATGTTTACATTTTTTATTCTTTCCTTCTTTCATTTTCTTTCTTTCTTTCTTTTTTGTTTCGTTCTTCCTTCTTTTCCTTTCTTTCGTTCTTTCTTCTTTTCATCCTTTCTTTTTTTTCTTACTTCCTTCATTCGTTCTTTCTTTTTTTCTTCTTTTTTTCTTCTATCTTACTTTCATTCTCACTTCTTTCTTTTTATTTCCTTTCTTTCTTCTTTTCATACTTTCTTTCTTCCGTCTTTCTTTCTTTCTTTCTTTTTCTTCTTTTTCGTTTCTTCTTTCCTTTTTCTTTCTTTCTTTCTTTCTTTCTTTCTCGTTTTCTTTCTTTTTCTTGGTTGTTTCTTCTTTCTTTTTCTTTCTTTCTTTCTTTCTTTCAGATCATATTCTTTCTTTCTCATTTCCTTCTCCTTTTTTTTAGTAATACATCTATTTTAATTGTGGCTCCTTATTTACATTAGAAGTATATAAAAAAAGTCCAATACTTAGTGATATGTCCCGGAAATATTGTTCAAAGTAGCAAAGTGGTTTTGGACTACTGTAACCGAGTAGGACAATCTAGCAGGTAACTGTAATGGACTGGTCCCCGTCGTAGTGGTAGGCAATAGGCGAAGACAATAGTCGTAGCCAATAGGCGTCGTCCTTGTACGTACATATCAGTCTGTATTTATGGCTGAAATCAGCCAATCATATTACTGTGAGGAGGAACCCAGGTGTATGCATATTCATTACATCACTTAGCAAAAGTAGAGTTTCGAAAATTTTTCAATCACCCATTGGGAATCTCGACAAGAAAGGATGTATTGATCAATACAAAAATAATAATTATGAAACTCCGAGTTGACCTTCGATTAGAATTAGACGCTTTAAAATCTAATTTAATAATAACTATAATAGAATTTCCCTTGTGAGCTCTTCTATATTGAGGGGGAAAACTGGGACTTGTTATTACATTTGGGTTCGGTGAACACACTCAGGGTGTAGGGGAGCGTATCTTAACTTAAACAAATAACAACATATATTAAGAAATGAACTAAGTCCGAGAATTATTTTACCTTAGGTTATCGGCCACACAGAGTTTATCGACTATTTTGTGTTAGGAAGAATAACATGTTTTAGTCTTCCAGTAGCACACCGATGCTAATGTTAGCATTAGTGTAGCCATTGATACACTAACACTGAATGCGAATACAGAAAGACGAAATACGCGACTGTAACAAACAAAACATTTAATAAGTCAAACAACTTACATACATATATTAAAAAGATTTACATATATCCCAAAACAAATGATTGTTCATATTGTCCCAAAGGAACGAGGAGGTTTACAGAACAAGAACAAAGAAATAACATACCAACTTTATGGCCTTTGATCGTCCGCAGATAAGTGAATAGAAATTATTTTTTTCTTTCGCTAGGCCGTGCACATGTTGACCAGTTTCCACGTGTGTAGATGCCCTGGTGTGTCAGGACGGTAAAGAGGCAGTTCCTCTAAAAAACGGAAGCAAAAACTAAAAAGGGACAGAAGAGTTCTTCTTTCTAAAGGGGCCGAATTCCCATGAGGTCAACCTAAGGGAAAACAACTGTGGTCTCCCTACAACCTTAAGATATATATATATGCGTGTGTATATATATATATATACAACACATCTCTCTATCTCTCTCTCTATATATATATATATATATATATATATATATATATATATATATATATATATATATATTTTCTGTAGTTCATTGCTACCAGCAAGCAGAAATTTTTTTCCTCCTGATGATGGCCATTTTGGCCGAAACTAGTCGAGGAATCTAAATGAAATAATAATAAAAAAAAACGAAAGAATATTAATATACAACCCAGTGTGTCTGAAGATTTTAATTTTTTAATATTTTTTTATTGTTCAATGTTCAATATATATATATATATATATGTATATATATATATATATATATATGTGTGTGTGTGTGTGTGTGTTTGTGTGTGTGTGTGTGTGTGTGTATAATGTGTAAAGGTAATAAATGAAAACCTGTAAGTTTTAAACTTGATGAGTACGGAAATGTATAGAAGAAGCCATCATCATAATGTATAATGTTAATGTAATAACTTTCATATTTGTTTTGCGGAGTGTGTTCCTGCATTGCCACGCTGAAGAATAATATCTTTTTTATTTACTAAAGCAGGACACTTTTGACGAAATGCTTCGTTTAGGCAATCAATTTGCTGGCAATAAATTTCTGCAGTGATGGTCCTTCCATACCCCACAGACTCGTAATGGACGACACTTTACATATTTAACCAGAGAAATTGCGAAAGATTCTATGATTGGAATCCTAATTTTGATGTTGTCCCTGATTTCTCGTTTTGTTATAACTAATGTCTTCATCGTTTTCTTTTAACATTGAAGACCAT